TGGCAAATCAAAATTATAATAATTAAAGTGAAACCTTCATTTTAGTGCATAACTGGAGAATCATTTACTCCGCTGCAGTCGCTAATCATCGTACAATAAAATCCTCAAACCCGGCAGTCACACACACCACCGCAGACGTAGCCGAGAGCTTCAAATTCTAACCTAACATCTAACATGAAGGTCACGGGAACCAAGAACCACTGCCAACAAATCGGCGAAGTTTCGGTCAAGTTCCACTCAGCACGGAACAAGAAGCATCAAAGAAATACTTTCCTTCCTGAAGTTCCCCCTTGGCCATCGTGGGCAGCGAGTGTGTGTGTGTGTGTTTGTGTGTGTGTGTGTGTGTGTGTGTGTATGTGTGTGTGTGTGTGTGTGTGTGTGTGTGTGTGTGTGTGTGTGTGTGTGTGTGTGTGTGTGTGTGTGTGTGTGTGTGTGTGTGTGCGAGGAACATGCAATAACAACTCGAAATCACATCATAATTTCACCACAAATGCAAGAACAGTTATGAAAATATTAAAAAGAAAGAAAAAGAAAAAGAAAACAAAGGCATTACCCAAAATCATTGCAGGGCCGAAGGAGACACACCTTTCATTAATAACTTCGGTGTAAAACTCCTGATAAGAGCTGTAAATCTTAGTTATCAAAATCGAGTTTCTTTTTTTTCCAATAACGGAAATCACGGTTGAATAAGATAACAATAACAATAACTACAATGATAATAATATCATTTGCTACAATGATCATTCATACCTTCAATAACTTTCTACCACAACACATTTTATTCATTACCTATATGTTAATATCTTATTAACCATTTACTAATATCAATAACAGACAGCTAATCTAATAATAAAATTTATCAGTGACCAACGAAGGCACTTATATATATGGCATTTCTAGCAACTACTGTTCAAACAACCTGTTAACTCAAATAGTATCGGCAATTTCAACATTTCGCACGGCAATGCAGCAGTTAGAACACCGTAACTCCATGTTCTTCATATAATTGTGAATAAATATACCAAGTTTAATAAATATGTTAACTTAAATAAAGGAAACTTGCACGGGAGAGGGAAGTGACACGAAAAAAAATAAGGATATAAAATTACCCTCTTCGTAAAATTTAACCCAGTGCATGATGATCATCATCGTTTGCAGAACAAGAGTTTATTGTTCAATATATTACGTGAAATCCAATAATCATGTGTTATTACAGAAAACTGGTTCCGAGAGCCACAGAAAACTTTTAGGGATGACTTTAAGTATTACATAATTACTGGCCGTCTATCATCACATGAAGAAGAGTTCATTGGAGCTTTACACTATGAAATTATTCGCATATTCTAATGAGTCATGTCCGGTTTGCTTCAGCCAAAAGTTTCCTTGTGTGGTGGTGAACTGTTCAAAAGTTTCCTTATGTGGTGAACTGTTCAAAAGTTTCCTTTGGGCGATTTTCAGTCAACACGATCATTTCCTGATAGTTTTCGTCGTTATTTGAACGAATCCAGCATTCTGTCGCAAATAAAAGCACTCCTGCGAGGAAGGAGAAAATATATCTCCACCTAAGTCACAATAATGGCCCCGATAACTTGAGAAAGAATGGCGAGTACTGAGGAAAATGGAAAGTGGGAGGGTAAAAGAAAATGGGAAATAGGAAATAAGAGTTTAAAAAAATGGGAAGTGGAAGACTAAAAGCGACAGACCGAATTAATTCATGTATAACTTGCAGGGGAAGCTCCTACCTCTAACCCCTCTAAATATTCTTCGCATATTTCCAGGCACGATTGGATCCAGGCAAACACACGGAACTGATTGGGTTTTCGATAAAATCTTACCTTACGCAAAACCTATTCCAGACTTGCCAGGTTGTGTTAGTAGAGAAGTTTACGCCAAGTGACAGTGCACCGTAGTCCACGAATATATAATTTTTTCATGATATTTCACATAAAAACATTCATTCGATAACTGTAACACAGGCAGGTCAGCATTACACTGCTCTAGTGTCAATTTTCACGTGACTGTCTATTACATTTCCAATTGGCTCATTTGATCTCCTTTGCATAAGTCTTACGCTAAAATCACGTTCGGTTTTAACGTCTGTCTCTCGTTGTGTTGAAAGGTTGTCGGTTGGTGGGTGCTGATATAATGTATGAGTTCAGTTCATTCCTCTTTGGCAAGAAGGAAACGTTTAGTAGAATGTTGTTTTGAATTACAGAATAAGGTCAGATTTTTTTTCTGTTTTTCTATAAGGTAATTAGACATACACCTTTGGCTGCTCACCCATTTGTCCATTGGGTCTGCACTGGAGCCAGTATTGAAGAACTAATTAACTGGTATGTTTACGTCATGTGACATTGATTATACATTTGGAAGTAAGTGCAGTGTTGTTGACAGTCACTAGCATATGTAACCAGTGGGGAATTTCCCAAAGTTTTGCAATACCAAATACGCTTGATCAGCTGATTACTAGTGAGTAATTTACGACAGAACGTTTTTTTTG